GTGGCTACATATAGACCATGTCATGAAATGACACTTATACCTGTGTAGATATTATTGACACTGCGAACATGATGGGATATCAACCATCTCATGCGCTGCCAGGCCAAAAACTAAGTGAATCAGGTTTGACTATAAGTGGGCTACAGATAGCCGCTCTGACTACGAGCTAAATTGTGGCTACGCTCAGGCTACGTATTGAACATGTCAAAGAAATGAAACCAAACACCCTGTAAACGCTGATGACTTTGCTTACATGATGGAATATCATACATCTCACAAGTTATTTTGCCAAAAAACGACATGAAACCAAATTCAAGGTTATTTGGGCTAGAAGTGGGTTACACATAGCCGGACTATATCAGGTCTATACTTAACCGAGACGTTGAAATGACGGCTATTGCTTGCTGGGTAGCAAAGTTCTACAACCAGTGGAACATGAAAAAACCCTTTTGGTGAATTACTGTAGTTTTCTAAAAAATATATTTGTGTACTGTACATACCGTAAGGGAGATATTGGCAAAATCTAACCTGTAGTAAGTTAGTCTTGTATCTAGCAACATACTACAACCGTTGGAACATGAAAAAACCCTTTCCAGGGATCTTTTATATTTAAATAATTGTGTACTGTACAGATATGAAGGGAGGTATTGGCAAAATCTCACCTGTAGTAAATCACTATGAGCAATACGAGCTTTACAATTTGACAGTGTGTTATTTTAAATGTTAAAAGTCATTTTAATTAAAATACATTGGACGTTTTAACCCAGTCGGTGGAATTGTCAGACGGTCCCTTGTGTGCGATAGCGCGTCAGTGCTTTCTCCCGTTTAAATTTGCAGCAATAATACACCTAGGCGGTTTTGAACTCCTATTTTTATGTCAGTATAAAGTGGTTGCATATTTTTAAAACGAATCGTGGTATTGATATCTTTGTAGGACTGTTGACTCTATAGATCAGTGGTAAGGGAAAGCAATTATAAAGAAAATGCAGCGCGTTGCGTTCTTCTGACCTCATTTGCTTGCCTGTATATAGTTCGCATTAGTGTTGTCAAAAGACCCGGTATTTCGGTACCAAGTCGGTACTAAAAAAATTAAAACGTTACAGTACCAGGTTTTTTTAAGTACCGGTGGTACCGAGTACCCAGTCAACCCGGTTCTTGATGTATTGATATCTTTGTAGGACTGTTGACTCTATAGATCAGTGGTAAGGGAAAGCAATTATAAAGAAAATGCAGCGCGTTGCGTTCTTCTGACCTCATTTGCTTGCCTGTATGTAGTTCGCGTAATCATCAATAAAGTGTATTCTGAGATCTGAGGTCTTATATCACTATATTAGTTCACTGAGGCGCATTACGCTTCGTTGGGGAATCCTGGATTGTGACATATGAGGGGGAACCCCAGTATTACAGCACAGCTTCACACAAGCCATGATACAAGTAAAGGAAACTAAGCAACCGAAAGCAATATATGTCTTCCCCAGATGTTATGTTAGTTCTGAACATCAGCCTTGGGTAAAATAGCATTATAATCGCCTATGTAGTAGAGAAAGCTGCTTACATGTAGGCTACTGGAAACAGCAAAGATGCTGAATTAAACATACACACAATCATGCTTTTCCACATGTTTATACTGGCCCCGATAAACAAAACTTCTACTTAGCGCTTGCTCCATTTCTGCAAAATCAGTTTTTGTGAATTAATTACTTAATCCACCTGTTGCTTTGGTCTTCATCAACAGCCGCTTGCGCCACCTGCTGGTGAGCGACTGACAGCAGCTGAAGATCATGCATCGGTGCTATTGAATTTTTAATTATGAAAATGTGTCAGCTGCACCACACGGATACGTTTTCTACTTTATTTACGCTTTGATTTGAACGAAAACAGCATATCCATGTGGTGCAGCTGACACAGAACAGCTTACAATTTGTCATTTTTTAATGTAAAAATCATACTAACATTATAAGTGCACCTCAGGAAACATTATGAAATTTAAAAAAATGCATTTCATGACCCCTTTAAAAAAAATGTAAAATCTAATTTATTACACAATGTGGCTTTTAATTAATCTAATTAAACCCACATCAGATTGCGCTGAGACATTTTCCCAGAAGGAAAATTTTAAGTCATTATTGTGTTACAAGAAAAAGGCATTACAAATAGTAGCTTTAGAAAATATATAGGTCTATATTTGATTATATACACACCGATCTTTAGGCTACAACAGCCATGAATGGTGTTTTTCATTTTTATTTATTTAGCCTATTTATTTGTTTATTTTTTTTAATTTATTTTATTTTGTTGAAGCAACATGAGGTTGAGTGAATTATGACAGAATTTTCATTTTTGAGTGAACTGTCTGTTTATTATTATTACTACTATTATTATTATTATTATTTTGTCATGGAATAAAATTCATTTTTAATTAAATAATAATGTATTAATTATTATAATAAATAATTATTATATTTATTATAAATATGGGGGGGGGGGGTTGGTCAGGACCTGTCCAACTACCAACACTTGCATTCTAGGCCACTTGAGTGGCCCATCGGGTAATGAAAAGTTCTACACACATTTGTGGTCTTCATGTCCACTTGAACACTTGGGCCAAACACAGGAAATACGACATGTTGGTCATATAAGAAGACAAGTAGTCAAATGCAAGTATGGGTATTTGGACAAGCCCTCAGTGTTTGTTTTACTCCCATCCTGCACCTGGTTAACAGTCAATCCACACTTAAACACATAGTGCAGGCGTCAGTGCTTCCACTTTTTAAAAGTGTAGCTCGTTCGCACCAATATACGACAAGCCATTCTGCAACAGGAGAGGGCGCAACACGTAAGTTTATAGCTTATGTATACAAACGATAAGTCCTTATTTTACATCCACATTCTGATTATTTGTGCAAAAGTAAATTTAAACATACCACAACATAATGAAACCTACACATTTGTAAACACACACTCTGTATATTTATAAGTATGTTTATTAAGTTTTTAATCTGTGTTAGTATTTGTACTGTGACTGTTTTAGCTGGAACATAGAATCTGACGTGCTTATATTAAAGTTAGTTAATATTAGAGTTTATCTAGAGGCCATACTGACAATTTTTTGGCGTGGTATATTAATTCTGGGTATAATTGCAAACATGTATAGTTTTTTATTCATGTTTGTCTGATTTGTTTAACATGTGTTATTCATATTTGTTAATTTAATTTGTTAAAATTTATTCTATCATTTATTTAACTCAAAGTTAAAAATTCTCTGCCTTAATCAAAAACACAACAAAACTGTCAGTTTTACAATATGAAAACCTGTAAACTTGAGACTTTAACTCATCTCTTTATAAGGTTAATTAACCATGAAATTACTAAAACAGGCATACTACTGAAATGAAGTCAAATACATTTATTTAGCCTATTGAGATTAGTATACAGCTGGCTGTTTCTCAGAAGTGTTTTTTGTACACCACCTCACGCTCTTGTCTTACTGTGTCTCTTGCACAGTAGTAAACGGCAGTGTCTTCAGTTTTCAGACTGCTCATCTGAAGGTACAGCTGATTCTTGTTATCGTCTCTTGAGATGGTAAATCGTCCCTTAACCTTGTCAGAATAGTAGATATAGCTATTGCCATCAGATAATGTTGCTACCCACTCTGGTCCTTTCCCAGCAGCCTGTCTGATCCAAGCCATCCAGGAGCCACCAAAGTTAAAACCAGAAGCAGAACAGGTCAGTTTATGTGACTCTCCTGGTTTAATGACTATTGCATCAGATTCCACCAGTGTCTGGCTCCTGCAATCTGAAAATTGAGAAAACAGCAGAATTTAGAATCATTATTGCATATTACTGTGCAAATTATAGTGTGCACTGGAAAATTGTAAGTTTTTTAACAATCTTTTTGCAGTACCATGTAATGAAAAGATAATTAGCACAACAAAGAAAATCGTCCTCTGCTTCATTATTAACCTGTTGTCAAAAGAAGTTGTGGTAGAAATGCTGCAGACGGGGAGGAGTGGAGGGATTTGTGTTTCTAAATAGAGTGTGATGAGAAATACTTTGCATACTTGGGGTGCCATCTAGTGGCTGAAACAAAGAGAAAGGTGAACCACCTGAAATCTCTAAATCTCAGAACTCTCACTGACTCTCTTGCAGCCCAGTCAGTGCTTCAGTTGCCACTGTCTAAAAGAAAACACATTTGTTACTGTAAGCTACTATAGTCAGGTTGATACATACATTCATTGATTTTTTTTCTTGAATAGAACCAATCTATTTACAGTAGATGTTAGCACATTTTAATCTGCCTGGCAAAACATTTTGTGTACTTTTTTTTCTGCTGACAAAACTTAATGAAATCTGTAAGAATGTACTCTTTACAGAGTTTTTCATGCTCTGTTTATATTTGTCAATGTTCAAGTGATTATGACTTTCTATATTTCACTGGATAGTTCTAATGATTTTTTTCATGCTTCTCGCCAATGAAACCAGCAGATATCAGTTTATCAGACATTAACAATTTTAAAATGATTTCACATGTGCCCTTGCAGTAAATGTCTTGTAATGTAGTTTGATTATTTGTTACATTATGAATATAACAATCCATATTTCTGCAAAACCGGCTCCTTCATTAAATCATCAGTAAGTGCATTGTATTCTGATGGTCTTTATTTGAATTAGTTTGCATATGTATTTAAAACATGTTAAAACATAATAAAACATATCATATTTAATTTGTGTGGGAAAGTGACCAATAAAGCTGACAGATAATTGACTTTAATTCCCCAGGGGTATGAATGTTCTAGTCACGTCTGACTGACTTCACAAACACCATGCATGCAGGTTTTTGATGAGTGCTGCAGTCTTTTGCATAACTGTGACTCTCATGCACAGTAATAAACAGCCGTGTCTTCAGTTTTCAGACTTTTTATCTCCAAGTACAGCATGTTTTTGCTGGTGTCTTTTGTGATGGAGAATTGGCCTTGTAGAGACTGAGCAAAAACAGTGCTAGTGCCACCATCAATACGCCCAATATACTCCAGTGCTTTCCCTGGTTTCTGACGGATCCAGCCCATCCAGTAGCTGCTCATTGAGAATCCAGACACAGTGCAGGACAGAGTCACTGATTCTCCAGGCTTTTTCACCACAGAGTCTGAGGAGGTCAAAGACTGACCACTAACAGCTGAAAAACATGGAACAAGTAATGTTAAATTGTATAGAAAAATTAAGTGACAACAATCTGGAGAAGTGAAATCATTCTCACCTGACATAATCATCAGCAGAACTCCATACTGTAAAATTTCCATTATCACCCTAAAACCGTCAAATGAAGAGAAACTGCACTGCAGCAAAACACAAACACTGACCGAGGATCCAGTTTATAACACAGTCCTTTGAGAGTTTGAGTGAGACTGATCCTCCTGACTAAATCATGACATTTGCATACACTGTATCTGCCCTAAAAAGGCAAAATGTGGTAAGTATGGAAACAATGGGAAAATTAATTAAAATATTTTTGATTAAATTAATACATAACTGTGTAATCAGTCTGCAGATTATTTCCCTCTAGAGTTACATGCTGCTGGTGGTATTCTTTGTGATATTAAACTTACTTTTCAAAGAATCTCTCTGAGTAATGGTGGCACCTCCCCAGATGTAATTAATAAATTCCAATGTTTTTCCTATGGGTTGTCAAATCCATCCTGTTGCATAGCTATTCTCTGTAAGAGAGTATCCAGACACCTTACAAGAGATAATCAGCGATGCCCCAGGCCTCACAACTTCAGAGCCTGGCTGGGTGAGCTCAGTTCCATCTGAAAATTGTGTCATTTATTATATGTTTCCATATCAACAGTACAAAAATTGTAGAGAACATGATTACTGAAAGGTTGAGCTGAAATATTGAACACCATGTGAAACACAGAGATAATAAAGTCTATTATGCTAGCGTAAGAGCGAGGTGGAGTTGAATTTGCATGTTGAGTATGGTTTAAAGTAAAAAAGAAGCATAAAAAATGAAAGATGATGCCACACAAAATGATTTAGTGACTATCTAGTTTGACCTATGACCAGACTGTGGTCAGTGCTTGAGCACGTTCCCCAATAATCTATAGATTTGTGTTATTTATTTCTTTATTCATTCAGTGGTTTATTCGGTCTGTATAGTTTATTTTCAAATGACGGGAGGACAGAATGTCTGTCAAAAATATCCAGTTTTCACTTTTTTTTTTTCAGTTTGAGCTTTATGTCTGTGTTTTGGAAAGGCTTGAACATTTTTTCTTTTGTACCTGTTTAAATCAACTCCTTTATTTCATATCATTGTGGAGGCATATAAAATTGCCACCAGGCCAATAATGATCTTATGCATGAACAGTTATTGTTGAGCCTTGTAGTCGTACTGTGACTGTCGTGCACAGTAATAAACAGCTGTGTCTTCAGTCTTGAGGCTTTTCAGCTCTAAATACAGCATGTTTTTGCTGGTGTCTGTGGTGATGGAGAACTGGTCCTGTAGAGACTGAGCATAATATACAGTTGAGCCAGATATACACCCAGGCATGTTCTGACCATAGGGACTTTCCCCAGTCGAGTAGTGGGCCAGTCAGGAGATCTCCCCCCTCCCCTATACAAGGCACTGTATTTAAAATGCAGCACATCGATAACTGCAAAAGGCAAATACTCCAAATGTATGTGTGATGCAATGGTGCTACCCGATTAAACAGTGCATCTGCCAGCCGTGCGCTTCTGCAGCTCTGATAAACTGCAAGTCACTTGATCCATTCAGATTTGACTCAGAATAGTGTTATACAAAAATTTTGCTGTTATTACTTATATTAAATATTAGGAAATATAAAACACTTTCATAGACGTTGTTTTCATAATTTCTACATGTGCTTACACAATTTTTTTATTATAAATTGTATAGTTTGTTATTATTTATTTTATAAACTAAAACAAGGAGCATGTTTTACTGTGATTATGATCTTATTAATAGTTTAACATTTTAATCATTGTAATGAATCTTAACTGAGTAAAATGTTAATTCAATTAGAGCTTGATGAATTATAAATAGGCCTGTCAGTGTCTTACATAAATTAAGTGCTAACTCCTTACTAATGTTACTGTCATTCCAAACCTGTATGACTTCTTTCTGTGGAACATAACAGATCATTTGAATTATTTAATTTATTTTTATGTTATAAAGTCAATGGTTTGGTTACCAACATTCTTCAAAATTTCTTTTACTGAAGAGAGAAAGTCATATAGGTTCAGAACAACATTATGGTGCATAAATGATTACAATTTAACAGAAGTAAATTTACTTTAAAAATCAGTGCTTTACTGTCAGGTGCATTTCTATGTGACAAAAATGCAAGATTAAGTCTGTTAACTATTTGCAGGACATTCAATAATATCTCTCATTATTTTTTATGTCATTTTTTATTTATTAAACCCATTTACTCCATTTTAAGGCCAAATTGTTGCCCCAGTCCAGCCCTGTATACACCCAATCCATTCCAGAGCTTTCCCTGGTTTCTGTCGTATCCAGTGCATCAAGTAGTCTGTCATTGTAAAACCAGATATTTTACAGGAGATCTTCACTGTTTCTCCAGGTCTCTTGATCTCAGCAGGTGACTGATCCAACCGGATTTCATCACCACTGATACCTGTGGAATAAAAATAAATAAATTACATTGATGTAGAGCATCCATTAGTGCACCTGTGTAAACTCTCCCAATCCACTCCAGAGCTTTCCCTGGTTTCTGTCGTATCCAGTGCATCAAGTAGTCTGTCATTGTAAAACCAGATATTTTACAGGAGATCTTCACTGTTTCTCAGGTGAGAAACACTGATCCAACCGGATTTCATCACCTGTGGAATAAAAGACAAAAATACATGAATGAAGAGCTTTTATAAATCAAAGTGCTATAAGTTTCTATATTGTTTTCTATTATTAGTTATGTTTATTGTTTAAAGGGATAGTTCACACAAAAATAAAAATTCTGTCATTGATTACTCACCCTCATGTTGTTCCAAACCCGTAAGACCTTAGTTCATCTTCGGAACACAAATTAAGATAGTTTTGACTACATTGTAGAGCTTTCTGACCCTCCCATAGACAGCAAGGTTGTTTGCGTTCAGGTCAAAGCCTGTTCCAGGAGGCTGCCTGATCCAAGCTGTGCCATAGTCTGTGAGGGCATATCCAGAGATCTGACAGGACAACCTCACCGACTGACCAGGAGCTTTAGTCTGTGCAGGAGACGAGGTCAGTGAGATGCCAGAAACATCTGTAAAAGAGAACAACACAGAGTCAATCTCATTTCATCTGTTTCTAACTAGATAAGTATTTGTATAAATACAGTCAGCAGCAAAAAGATTCACACCGATGTGACTGAATGAATCAACTCACATGGCAAAAAAGCAAATAAAATGAGTAGAGTTTGACTCATGATTGATTTCAGAATCAGACAGTAAATCCACACAGCTTTATCCGTGTTAGTGGACTGCCCCTCTGCTGGAGGAAACTGACACTCTTATTCTCTCATGGTGAATATTTGCATATCATTACCTGAGTTAAATATGATTTTGAAGCTTGAATTTCAGTGAGCTAAAATGCTTTCATACAGGGCTTGCATCTTTGCTTTGCATAGGCCAAATGGTAACACTTTTTTGTGTTTAATTTTTTACTAGTTGAGTTGAACTATCCTGTGTCGTGTTTGAAGAATCAATACATTAATGATAATATAATCATAAATGATTTATTTTTTTAGACACATATACACTGTAAACCCTAATAAGTTGAGACTACTCAAATGATTTTAGGAAAGTGATTCCCTCAGTTTAATTGAGTAATGGGAAATTGACAACTCAGTTTAATTGAGTTCACCTAATGTGGTCTTCTCATTGAATTAACTGTTTGTTTGTTTTTTAAGTACAAATAACTTAAAAGGCAAACAGACTAAACTCAAATGTTTCAGTTTATGTATTGTTGTGTTTATTGGCTTTAAGAAATGTATAAATCATTAAAACAATTTTTTTTTCACATAAACTTTATTTGGGTTATACAACATTGATGAATTTTGATGATGTACAGTGGTGTGATAAAGTGTTGGCCCCCTTCCTGATTTCTTAATTTTTTGCATGTTTGTCACACTTTAATGTTTCAGATCATCAAACAAATTTAAATATTAGTCAAAGATAACACAAGTAAACACAACATGCAGTTTTTAAATGAAGGTTTTTATTATTAAGGGAAAACAAAATCCAAAACTACATGGCAGCAGTAAAGATGTCGGAAACATGATTTGTGTTGATTTCTCTCTGCTCTACTGGGAGATAAACAATACAAACGGCTCTCTTTAAAACACCCGGAAACCCTGAGCAGATTTGCATAGAGTAAAATAATCAAGTATAGAATGCTAATCAGTCACTCAAAGTAGGCCTACTGAGCTATTTTTATTATTTTTTTTTACAACCTGATTTATGTTTGTACAGTTCAGCAAGAAATAAGACACTGAACACAAATATATAAACTGGTTTGTACGGTGCCCGTAAGGTGACATGCTCGGTTCACTTAGTTTAGTCGTGGCCACGACATAATAATAACTCGTGGGAACGTGATAATATGTCATGGCCACGAGATCATTTTGTCGTGGCCACGGCTTCTTATTTTGAGGGAACGACATATTTTGTGTAGCCACGAGTTTAATGCGTAAACAAACCTGAGTGACCATAGCAACCCGGGATTATCAAAAATAGATAAAACATTTTTATTAACATTAAACATTTAATTTAATATTTGTATATTATTATTTTTATTATTACATTAACTTATTAGGGCTATATTTTTATATTTATTGTTATATATGCTTATTTCCCTTTTCAATTTGTGTTTCGCTTTACCTAGTTAACGTATTTTATAATTATGCTAGCATTTGCTAGCCTATCATATATTTTGTAAATAAACGCCTGACAATTATGCCAATAAAGTTTATCTATTAATTAGCCGAAATAAAATGAAATATATGTTCAATATAAACTGCATTCCAGAAAAAAATCCAGTCAGCATAATCAAAGCTTTATTGGCATGTCGAGCATTTACTAATATAATAATGTAATAATTCAAAATAAAATATTAATGAATCCATCTCTGATAATCCGGGGTTGCTGTCACGCAGGTTTGTTTACGCATTAAACTCGTGGCCAAGAGAAAAATATGTCGTTCCCTCAAAATAAGAAGTCGTGGCCACGAGAAATGGATGTCGTTCCCTCAACATAGCATCTCGTGGCCACGATATAAGGATGTCGTTACCTCGACAAAATGATCTCGAGGCCATGACATAATATCACGTTCCCACGAGTTATTATGTCGTGGCCACGACAAAACTAAGTGAACCGAACATGAC